AGACTGTCGGCTCACAAACAATGACATGGAGACTTTTAATTATGAAAATTTGGCCTATTGGCTTAGGCTTGTTCTCAACTAGCTCTTATAACTCAAAATAACCCATTTATATTAATCTATGTTGTACCACATGGCATTACCTCTATCTTTTTTTTTTTTTTTTTGAGACAGGGTTTCCTTGTGTAGTTTTTGGAGCCTGTCCTGTAACTTACTTTGTAGACCAGGCTGCATGAGTACAAAAGGACACTTCTAAGACTCCACCTACCTCTGCCTCCCAAGTGCTGGGATTAAAGGCATGAGCCACCACCACCTGACCATCTTTATCTCTTGTACTACTTTCTGTTTCCTCTGATCTCTGGCTGGCAACTCTGCCTTTCTTCTTCCCAGTGTTCTCTCTCTCTGCCCGAAAGTCCCTCCTAGACCTCCTGCCTAGCTATTGACCGGTCAGCTCTTTATGACACCAATCACAGCAATACATCTTCACACAGCATACTGATATCCCACAACAGGGGTGGCGATTGTTTGGCTATCCTGGGATACGTTCAGCAACCCGGTGTGCTCAACAGGAAGGTGAGAGCCACAGTGCTAGTCTGGAGCCTGTCCCACTTAAGAGGCTGGCTCCCGCGGCGGGCAAGCTGGCTAGAGTGAGTGCAAGGCCAGCCCAGGGACTAACTGAGGTGGGAAAGTGCGCCATGAGCCCACAGAAGTGACAGCTGACAAGGATGAAGCCAGATGGAGAAAAGGAAAGTATCTGTGGATTACCGGGGGGCCAGATGAGGTGACACCCACCAACTGTGCCACTGTACCGGACACTGTTCTTTTGACAGAACAGCTGATAAAAGTGACGGGATATTTCTATACTGTAAGTACCTCGAGTCACGTGAGTGGCCACCCTCCACCGAGGACCCCTAACTGCCAGGTTCCACCCACAGAATACTCTAACTGCCCTAACTGCTGGACCCTGCCCCCATCCTCCAGATCTCTGTGAGTTCAGGGCCACATTGGAAACAGCCAGGCATGGTGACACATGCCTTTAATCCCAGAAACTGAGCCTTTAATCCCAGGAAGTGAGGGCAGAAAGCAGAAAGGTATATAAGGTGAGAAAACCAGGCACTGGGCTGGTTAAGCTTTTAGGCTTTTGAGCAACAGTTCAGCTGAGATCCATTTGGATAAGAACTCAGAGGCTTCCAGTCTGAGGAAACAGGATCAGCTGAGGAACTGGCGAGGTGAGGTAGCTGTGGCTTGTTCTGGTTCTCTGATCCTCCAGCATTCACCCCAGTACCTGGCTCTGGGTTTGTCTTATTAATAAGACCGTTTAAGATTCCTGCTACAGACAGCAGTTAAAAGTTAGATGACAGCGCCCTGCATGAGGACAAAGGGGCACTCCTAAGACTCACAACCCAGTATCAGAGGTGATGACCCCAGTAGGAGTAATTTAATAATTTGGAGTTCCTAGTAGATGAATTTGTCTCCATAGTATAGGCTGAGGAAAATATAATACAGAGGAAACAATGGTAGAGAGTAAACAATTCCTGATTTAACAGTTCCTGAATCTCTGGTTTCACAGAGTAGATTCTTTCACAGACATGCACTTTTCTGATATGCGAGGAACATATTTATGGGCAAGTTGAGAAGATGGGAGGCAAGTAAGGTATGAACATATTATGTGTAGCCAGCATAATTCAAAGCTTTTCCATATAATATATTTTGATCATACTCTTTTCCTTCCCTCAACTCCTCCCAGATCATACCCACCCAACTTCACGCGCTCTCTCTCCTCTCTCTCAATCAAATCCCCCTCAATAAAAAAGAAAATCAACCAAACAAAAATCAATATGACAAAAACACCAAAACAAAGAAAAAACAAACAAACAAAGCAACAACAAAACAAACCAGAACCAAACCAGAGTCCATTTTGTGCGGGCCAACTACTCCTGTGCATGGGGTGTGCTCTGGAGTGTGGTTGGCACACCCAGTGACACTCATTGGAGACAACTGATTTTCCTTTCTTAGCAGGTTGTTGGGATCAGAATGGCTCTGACCCCTCTAAGATTGGCCCCACCTCCCCTGTTCTGAGTGCGCCGAGGTCAGGCTGTTCTGCGGATGTTTTGCTGATCGGTACATCTAGTGGTTTGGCAGCTGTGGCTGGCTTCCTGGGGCATGCTGGCCTTTCCTTGACCCTGGGTGCTTGGTAAACAATTCTGTTTGTTCCTCCTTCTGAAAGGGTATATAAGATGGGGAAGAAAGTCCTGATGCTTGCAACTTAACTGGCATGTGCTGTGTTCATCCCAACTTCCCCCGACAGATTTCAGGCTCAATTGCCCTGCGGGTGCGGCAGCAGGTATCAGTTGTGAATACCTTTTTGGTTTGGGAGTGGATATTTGTGGCCACTTCCCTTCTTAGTGTTGAGATTTTACCTGGGTTGAACTTGTGCAGATCTTACACATACATATGCCACACCTGAGTGGGTGGTTCTGAACAGCATAAGAAAGCAGGCTGAGCAAAGCATGGGGAGCAAGCTAGTAAGCAGTACTACTCCATGACCTCTGCATCAGTTCCTGCCTCCAGGTTCCTTCCTTGAGTTCCAGCTCTGACATCTCTTCATGGTGGACTGTGATTAGAACACACAAGCTGAAATAAAACCTTTCCTCTCCATGTTGCTTTTGGTCATGATGTTTTATCATAGCAATAGAGTCTAAGACAGGAGAGAAAAAGAGAAAAAGTGGACATGGAGCTCCCACCGTGAGATTTTCTGTTTTTTTTTTTTTTTTTTAAGTGAAAATATACATGAGAAAATAGCAACTATGAAAGACTTGATAACTAAACTAGTTACCTGCCAGATTTGGATATATATATAGTAAGCATACCCACTTCTCTTCAATTGATGTCTCATTGAAAAAGAATAGCAAAGATAATGCTGGATAATGCTGAAAAAATGGGTAGTTCAGTCAACCCTTTGGTTTTCTTCAATAAGGGCTGCTTTCTTATGTCAACTTGACTCAAGTGAGAGTCATCTGAAAGGAAGGAACCTCAATTGAGAAAATGCCTCCCTAAGATCAAGCTGTAGGACATTTTTTAATTGGTGATTGATGGGTGAGGGCCCAGCTCGCTGTGGGTGATGCCATCTCTGGGCTGGTGGTCCTGGGTTCTATAAGAAAGCAGGCTGAGCAAAGAAAGCCATGAGAGCAAGCCAGTAAAGTAAGCAGCACCCCTCCATGGCCTCTGCATCAGCTCCTGCCTCCAGGTTCCTGCCCTGCTTGAGTTCCTGTCTTGACTTCCTTTGACGATGAACCATCATATAGAAGCGTCAGCCAAAATAAACCCTTTCCTCACCAAATTGCTTTTGATCATGGTGTTTCATCATTCCTATAGAAACCCTAACCATGACAGACCCTTTCCACCCAACTTAACCTCCTTAAGTGAGTTTCTGTTCATTCCAAAATGTCTTTATGAAGAGTCCTTTACCCTTACTTTCCATAGTTTCCATCACTACTGAATTTATACTCCATTCACCTACCAGACAGTGCTTTCCATGACCACCACTTCTTTAAACTAGCCCCTAGCTTCTCTCAGTCACAAAATGCAAAGTGTACTGAAATGAATGATAGAGGGAAGGCAAGCGCATGAACTGGAAGGGTAGGACCCAAGAGACAAGAAACTAAAAAACTGCGATTACTGTTTTCCTATACTTTTTCTATACTTTCTTCTCATATAACTTGTAATTGTTTTACTAAATACTTATTTGAGCTTTTGTTTTTGTGTTTCCCATCCTCTCACTGGCTTTTGGTCATCCCTGTAACTTACACTAATAGATCACTAGGATTTCATGCCATGTTTACTTAAGAGGTCAGGGATAAAGACCAACTAATGGATGGAATAACAAACTTATATGAGTAAAACATGAAAGCCAGATAAACGGAAGATAGAAAGATGTTTATCCTCAGGTACGCCACTTCAGGGCTGTCCCACGAGCTTTTCCGATACTTGTCAGGAAAGTATGCCCTGATGCCTCACAGTTGCTTCATTTCTCTTCTTGACTGAGACCCCAGATAAAATAATACACTGACCCCTATCAACTTTTCAGATATATTCAAACTGCAACACACTTAGGGAGTTTTCTGAAAGTGACAGAGCACAGTTCACAGAAAGCTGAATAATGTGGTGGGATGAATTCTCCCTGAGGGTCAGATTATAAAAACTGACGGCTCAAGATGAGAAAAGAGGACCCTGGCAAACCAAAGTCAAGTGAAGACTCTGATCCACTAAGTACTTTAGGTTAACTCCAAGGGAACAAGAAAACAAATCTTCAAAACAAAGGGATAACAATGTGATTCATGTGAATCGATGGCCAATGGCGTTCATGTAAACCTAGCTTAGAACCTACTATAAATAGATTTTAGTTATGTTCATCAAATTGTACAGTACTCTGTGGGGGATGGAATCCTAAGCAACTTTCACCTCCCAGCCTTTACTTTCTAACACAGAAATTACTCTCTAAGGAAATGATAGCATGTATCTGTCTTTGAGTTCAGAGGAACAACTTTGTGTCTTCCTGAGGATAAGGCTGTTAAGTCTCTCTCTTTTTTTTCTTTAAAATTTTTGTTGAGACAGGGTTTCTCTGTGTAGCTTTGCGCCTTTCCTGGAACTCACTTGGTAGCCCAGGCTGGCCTCAAACTCACAGAGATCCGCCTGCCTCTGCCTCCCGAGTGCTGGGATTAAAGGAGTGCGCTGCCGCCGCCGCTGCCACCACCACCCGGCGGCTGTAAGTCTCAAGCCTAACCTACAAAACAAGACTTCCTTATGAAATGAAAGGCTCCAGCAGGCCCTGCTCTTACTAAGTAGGGGAAACCAGGTTTCACAATGTTCACAGCACTAGTGTCTCCCAAACATTTCTTGAATTAAAAAAATAGGGTAATTCAAAATTTGGAAATAAAAATTTTAAGATCTATAGCCAGAATTTAAAAAAAAAATTGCATATTTGGAAAACTGGGAAGAAAAAATTTTGAGATCCAGAGCAAGAGGCTTTCATTATCTGTTGTTCAAAGTTATACACCAGACAAATGAAATCATATACATATACAAATGCTCTTGAGGGTCACATTAGGTACCTTCTATTTAAACATTCAAATATTAAACACAGTGACAAAGCCAACTTCCATTTCTTAACACTCAGTACATTTTCAGGGTTGTTCTTCAATGTGAACTCTTTGATGTCGGATGAGGGATGAGCTGCATTTAAAGCTCTTCCCACAGTCATTACATCTAAAAGGTTTCTCTCCAGTATGAGTTCTCTGGTGTTGAATAAGCGCCGATGAATGGATGAAGGCTTTCCCACACTCACCACATTTGTAGGGTTTCTTTCCAATATGAATTCTTTGATGTTTAGCAAAATTTGAGCTCCTGCTAAATGTTTTCCCACATTCATTACATTCATAAGGCTTTTCTCCAGTGTGAATTCTCTGGTGCTGAACAAGGTGTGTGCTCTGACTGAAAGTTTTCCCACATTCACTACACTCATAAGGCTTTTCTCCGGTGTGAACTCTCTGGTGCTTAGTAAGGGATGAGCAATGGCTAAAGGCCTTCCCACACTCCTGACATTTATAGGGTTTCTCTCCAGTATGGGTTCGTTGATGTTTAATGAGTGCTGATGAGTGAATGAAAGCTTTATCACATTCATTACATTCATAAGGCTTCACCCCAGTATGAATCAACTGATGCTGTGCAAGATGCGTACTTCGGTTAAAACCTTTCCCACACTCACTGCATTCATAAGGTCTCTCTCCAACGTGAATTCTTTGATGTATAGCAAGGGATGAACTTTCTATGAAGGTTTTCTTGCATTCACTACACTCAAAGAGAATTCTAGTATGAGTTCTCTGGTGTTTAGTTAAATTGGCTCTGTGGCTGAAGGATTTCCCACATTCACTGCAGGTATAGGGTTTCTCTCCAGTATGTACCCGCTGGTGTCGAATAAGTACTGAATGGTAAGTGAAGAGTTCACCGCAGTCATCACATTTATGAGGTTTTTTCTCTTTATAAAGTCTCTGCTTTTTCATTAAGTTTGATTTCTGCTTCAATCTTTCCCCAAGTGTATGAAAGTCATAGGATCCTTTGGGAACTCTCTCGTCAGTCGTAAGGAGCGGTTTCTGATTGCAGTTTTCCCAATATATATCAGGTTCACTATCTTTTTCCACAGGGAGGGAGTTCATGTGAGGGAGCATTTGTCTTAAGTGCTTTTCCTGATTTCCTTGCTGATGCTCTAACCAATGCTCACAATTGTGAGCTGTTTCCAAGATGGAGTCATAAACAGCATTTTCTGTCTGTTTTCCTGCTCTTGTAACCGGGTATGTGTCTTCTGTGGGAAAGTCTTGCACTGAAGTTGAATCCTTGCTCTCAGGTCTCTCAGGTCTAGTTTCCACATCTGTGAAGACATTGCAAATGCAAATTGTTTTCTGTGCTTAACAAAAACACAGTTCCATAACAGGTAAGAATTAATGAAGATGAAAGCATGGCTTTATGGAATTAGTAGATCTGACACTCTTATTGGAAAGTTTGCAAAAAAGAAGAAAATTGAGAGAAATAAATATGAAAATGAATAGACGCTATCCAGGAGAATCAGATGGGGGAAAGATGGTCAGAAATGTAACAAGAGGAGGGGAAAAGATGAAAAACATGTCAGGAGAGGAGCAGGCATGAGTGCATTAGATCTGGATTGTAAAAATCACATTTTATAGAATATCTTCTGTTACAGTATCTAGGAAAACACATACAAAGATGTATGGATAAGTATATATACATTTAATGATATGTAGTATAGTAGTATAATACTATGTTCTTATAAATACTATTCAGTATAGTAATTAAAATAGTATGGTACTGAAACTTAGACAAATAGGTCTAGAAAAAAATTCAAATATTTTATATATATACATATATATGTATGAATGAACTGGATATTTCGGAATATTTGTTTGCACTGTGTGAAGATGTGTCACTGTGATTGCTTTAATAAGGAGCTGCATGGCCAATAGCTGGGCAGGAAAGCTAAGTGGGATTTCCAGGCAGAGAGAGGAACACTGGGATGAATCTAGGCACAATGGAGATGCCAGAGACACTGAAGATGTTGGACATATGGTACAGAGGGGGGGAAACTGAGCCACATGGCAGAACATAGATTAATAAAAACATGTTAATTTAAGTTATAAGAGCTAGTTAGGGAAAAGCCTAAACTACAGGGAAAAGCCCAAGCTAAGAGCAAGCTTTCATAATCAATAAGTCTCCATGTCATTATTGAGCTGATGGTCCAAAGGAAAGTCTGACAACTGGGTTTACCAAAAGGTAGCATTACAAATCACTAAAAGATTACTCAATAAATGATGCTGGACTACAGGCTGTAAGCATGAAAAAGACCAACTTCACATGACTTACAAAAATAAATACCTGCACAACAAAACTTGAATATTTCATAATAAAATTCAGATTATATTTCTGACACTGGTATGACAAAACAATTCACATAAAGTAAACTTGAAATAGTAAGGACTTAGCCAGGTGTTTTGGCACACGCCTTTAATCCCAGCACTCAGGGAGGCAGAGGCCAACCTGGTTTACACAGTGAGTTCTAAGAGAGCCAGAACTATTACACAGAGAAACCCTGTGTATAACACCCACCCCCTGCCCCAAATTAGTAAAGGCTGGGGCTAGAGAGATGACTCAGTGGTTAAGGGCACTTGCTGCTATGGAAGAAGACCCAGGTTCAGTTCCCAGCACCTACAGGGAGGCCCATAACACTCTATAACTCTAGTACTAGGGGATCCAACACTCTCACCAGGCCCACACCCATACACACAGAAAGTAAAAACAAATGTTTTTAAAAGATATATCTTTAATTTTGTATGTGTGTCTACATCTGGGTATGTATGTGTGAGTCAGATGCCCCCAGTGGCCAGAGGCTTTTGATTCCTTGGAGCTGGAGTCGTAGGCAGTTGCAAGTGGCCTGATGTGGTGCTGAGAATCATGCTCAGGTCGTCGACAAGAGCAGTATGTACTTCTAACTTCTGAGCCATCCCTCTGGCCCCTAAAATGAGCTAGGGATGTAATTCAAGGGTAGAGTGCTTGCCTACCCTTTCCAAGGCTTGGGGTTCCAATCCCAGAACTGAAAAAAACAGGAATCAGCAAATCTGACCTTAAAATTTAAAAGTTTAATATACTAAATTTGGGGCCTATTCATTATGCCCAGCCTGGAAGAATCAATTCCTCCTCATTTCTAACACGACCACTATCATATATTAGAATCTAAACTTACAAATAGCTGCAGCAAATCAAGGAGGCTAAAACATCCAAGAGTCACAAACACACAGTTCATATTTAGTACTCAGAGAAATGCAAATGAAAAACACGAAGTGGCATTTTTTTTAATAAGATGGACAAGAGCCACTAAGTCAACTGGTGGACAAGATGGAGAAAAGACCTTAACAAACCTAATAAAACTATATGTAACACTTGAAGACCCATCTATCTTCTTCCAGCCATCTACTTTGATGTCAGCTTTCAAGAGGAACACGAGTAATAAAAGGCAGTCATGCAACTCTGCTAATGGCTGAAAATTAACAAGAAACGGTCCAGTTTCCTCACACAATGCGCTTACTCCACACCCCATAGTTTAAAAGAAATATAGACAATTCATTACGTACTAATAGAGACTGATAGCAAAATGAAATGGTGGAGCTTAACTATAGATTACAGAAGAACAATTGTAACAATGAGATACACATTTTATGTACACGTGCATGTGCATACATATCCCTGTCTGTGCAAATATAATAAGGTTCACACCAACCTCAAGACAAAGTGGTCCCTTCTAGAGAATGAAAGAATGAGAGGACTTTATCTGAATCTCTACATTTTTTTTTTTTTCTAGACAGGGTTTCTCTGTGTAGTTTTGGTTCCTGTCATGGAACTCACTCTGTAGACCAGGCTGGCCTCAAACTCACAGAGATCCGCCTGGCTCAACCTCCCGAGGGCTGGGATTAAAGACATGCGCCACCACCGCCTGGCTGGAATCTCTCAAATGTTTATTTCTTAAAAAGTAAAAGTAAAAGACATCACGTCGCCATAGGAACGGCTAAAATAAACACAGATAATATTGTTACAACTAAAAAGTTGTAACTTCTCTCAATGGAAATGTAAGTGGGAAGGTTTTTGTAAACCCTCTTTGGCAATATCTACATTACACACACACACACACACACACACACACACACACACACACACACACCAAAAAATGTACGTGTTCATCAAAAGCCATGTGAAAGAATGTACACAGGAGCTGTATTCATACAACCCAGACTGCACACTCTCCAAATACCTGTCTTCAAGAGAATGGGTAAACCGGGGTACTGGAATAATGAAAGGTTCTACAGCACTAAGAATGAACCAATCTCAGCAACATGCCACAACGTGGGTGCATCTCACTGAGAATGCTCAGAGAAGGGAGCCAATCTTCAAAGAATATACAATGATTCCGTTTAAATGAGGTCCAACACCAATCAGAAGTAACTATGCCGTCACATGCCGAGATAAGGTGACCCGTCGGAGAGAGGTGACTGGACAGGGGGCATGGGGTGCTTCTCAGGAGGACTGGTGTTTTCTTGATCTAGGCAGTAGTTACATGAATGTGTTCAACTTGTGAAAATTCACACACACATTATAGTGCTTTTATGTATTTTTACAGCTGCAAAAAGAAAAAAGAAAAAAGAGGAAAGAAGAAAGGAGCGGAAAGTGATGTAAACAATTTTGGCGATGGCTATTTTATTTTATTTTGATTTATATATTTTAAAAGCTTCAAATTTTAAACTACTACTTTGAAAATCAAGGCACCCTAGGCATTTCTAATTCTCTCTCAAGCTCTGCAAAGTGCTTCCTATTCACTCGTCTGCTGGACGGAGGCACCCGTTGAGTTCACCTACCTGAGTAACTGCATTTGGGAGGTTTTTCCTCAAGCTCCAGTAGTTCTTTTCCAGCGTCCAAATTATAGTCATCAGGTTTGGAAACAGGAAGCCCTGTTTATTAAAAAGAAAAGCAAAGGAAGAGAGTAACATGAATGAAACAAGTATTTACGGAGGGCGCAAGGATCCCTACTGGAATTTAGTTCCATGCCCTTCACCTAGACAAGACGTGGCAAGGCCATCTGGAGAGGGGCAGGAAGGACCTCTCAGTGGGGCTTAGAGTATCTGCCACAGTCTAAGACTGGTGCAAAGTTAAACTGAGTTTTAAAGACAAACTTGTCTGTTGTAAAGGGAAAGAAGGTGTCTCATTTCCTGATTGTTTGTGGGGATAGAGAACAACAGCGCAGATTAATCTTCAGTTCAGAAAAGAATATGAATAATATGGGACTTCAGTGGCACCCCAAAACTGTGACTGTGGAACTACAGTTTTTAATCTTCTAATAGTTTTCCTTTCTTTTTCAGTCACTAGAATTTCTTTGGGGATTTATTACACGATGTTTGGACATGGGCCACCACAGCCTGTATCACCCTCAAATAAACAAGTGCACAAACACACCCATACCCCCGCCCACACACACAGAGTGATGCACATGGGATCCAAAATGGGCCACAAGCACTGCCTCTCTCTGCTCTATACTGTTTGAATTTTCAAAATAAAAGCATCTCCTTTTTTTGCTCAGCTCTCGAGCTAACTGAAGAAAAACTTAACCCCAGAGCTGCTGCCTCCTCGGCCACATGGGGTCTCCTGAATTAATAGGTAAGATGGCAAATGACAAGCCAGCTGACTTTAAACAAAATTCCAATGACACCTTTGCTTCCCTAGGTTCCTCCCCATGAAGCCAGTGAACATTAGGCTGTCATTTGATTCTTGATAAACCAGAAGCCTGAACATTTCACCAGGGACCTAGAACAGAATGGGGTGGGATAGAGCTCAGTGGCAGTGTGTACGCTCAGCCTGTGCAAGACTCAGATTCAATCCTCAGCATCCAGCAAAACAAAACATTTTCCTCAATGCCAAGAAGAAATGCGATATGACTTCTAACTCAGAAGCGAAGGTTTGTTAATGCATTTCCTTTTCACGAAGCAATGTCAGCCCCATGAGTAGACTTCAGAGTCAGGGCAAGAAGCGGTTCTTACAAAGTGAGACCAGGCTCCTGTAGTTCTCCAGCATCACGTCCCTGTGTGCAGGATCCAGTTGTCCCCATTCCTCTGGTGTCAAGTCCATGGCCACGTCCTTGAATGTCACGGTCTCCTGAGACACAAATACACTTGTTTTCACCATCTTTCGGTCGATACCTGTGATGGCTATTCTTGGTTGTCGACTTGACCACCTCTAGAATTAACTATAAACCCAAGCAGCTGTGTACACCTGTGAGGGATTTTTAGTTAGCTGGATCATTTGACGCAGGAAGTCCCACCTTAAAAGGTCAGAAGACCCACCCTAAATCTGGACCACCCCTTCTCATGGTGGCTGCTATAAAAACTCGGGAGAAGGGAGCTTTTGCTTTTTGCCTGCCTGCCCTTGCTCTCACTGGCGAGTTCTATATCCTGCTGCGGAGGCGTTCCTTCACTGGCAGTAGAGCCTACTTCTTTGGGACCCTGACATCTGCTGAAGACCAGCTGAGACGGCTACCCTCATGGACTGGACAACTACTGGATTCTTGACCTTTCTGTCAGGAGGCAGCCACTGTTGGACTAGTGGACCACAGCCTGTAAGCCACTCTAATAAATCCCTTTCTATATATTCATTCTGTCAGTTCTGTTCTTCTGGAGAACCCTGACCAAAACAACGTCCCTTCCTTCCAGTCTGTTCCTGATGGAAACAATGCACATGGCCGAGACAACTCAACAAGAGATGTGATGGGTGTTCTGATAGTGTTCAGATCCCAAAGAGTCTACGTACTTTCACTCTATACCAGGTACACTGTGAGACGCAACAGAAATAAGACTGCTCACACCACTGAGAGACTCATTTTTCTGTCAAAAAAGTACATAAGATATAAGCACTGAGGGAGGAAAAACAGGATGTCTGCATACTTCTCCTATAAGTCCTTAACACAAAACATGTCATAGTCTTCAGAAGAATTATAATGCAGATGTTGCAAACAGAGAGGTCACAGAATGAAAACAAAAACAAAAACAAAAACAAACTGGCAGTGAACAGCAAATCCAGCTAAATGTGCAATTAATTCAAGATAAAGGGCATTCAATTAGAAGATGTGATAAACAAGGTTATAGATGTCACTCAAAAGTGGTTATAAAAAATGTTATAAGGTTACATCTTAGTAACGTTGAAAGAGAGAGAGAGGGAGGGAGGGGGGAGGGGGGCTACATATTGGTATTGAACGTGGCCCTTTAAGTAAAGCCATAGAGAATGGGAACAATATTCCAAATTTGCTGAAACAAATGTGTCACAAATGCTTAACTGGACACAAGGCACCTTCTATTTAAACATCCATGAAGCATTTGCAAAAACCAGCAAAGCAGATTTTAGTAAATTCCCAAATAAGAATAAAGCTATACCTGATGATAATTGTAAAACTATACTGGAACATAAAAATAAAGAAGCAAAATGCAAAGTCCAAGGCTAAACAGCTAAAAACTCTGGGGGTACACAGCACTCTTGGAATTTCTTAGATTTTAAACACCTTTCCTATATTTTCAAAATATGTAAATACACGAGAAGGGCACACAAGTCATATCAAATAATACGAACAACAGAAAGAGCATTAAAAGACAGAAGCAGAAATTTTATATACAGAAAATGGGAAATCTGGGAAAGGCCAAAGGTCACTGTATTATGCCAATGTTAACGTCTCAATTCCAGAAACGAGATTAATGCCAAGTCAAGTGTTGACTTCTGGAGTTTCAGTGAAACGGAGACAAGAGATCTCTGTGTTGTTATTTGTAACCTTTCCCATGTCTATATTTTTCTCCAAGTAAAGTTTCCAAAATAGTTTGAGATTTTAGAAATCAAAGAATCATCTTTCAAAAATGAAATAACAGGCAATCCTCCCACCCCCAAGCAGCCACTAAACAGCGAAGACTTCATAAAAACAAAACGTGACCTTGACCCCAGAATCTGGATACACAGAGCTCAGTCAACACTCAGTGGAAATAAACTGCTCATCAATCCAATGGAAAAATAAAACAAAAAACAGAAGAGCAAAGATGAAAACTGTTATAGGCAAGGCAGGAAAAACTCAGGAGGAGAGACAGCACCACACGTACACGGAGGGAGCAGAGCTCCTTCTAAAATGGTCTTGTTGAAAGCTCTACCCTATTTACAGAACAGGTTAACCAAAACACCCCAGGGAGGGAAATGGAAGGAAAGACAGTGTGTCACGTGTCATCTGGATTCAGTATGCTAAAGTCAACAAAATACAGGAAAATACACACCAGACAGTGATCTCTGTAGAAAGAGGTGAGGGGCTGATTTGGGGAAGAAAGTTATCATACCTACATATTTCTATGTTCTGTGCTGCTTATTAAATCGATAAGAACTAAAACTAATGTACACACTTTCTAAATCTAGTAAGATTAAAAAAAATAACCAACTCAGGCAGATTTGAAAGTTCCAACATTAGCATTAAATAAAATCTAGTAAAATTAAAAAAGGACAGACTTAAAAAACATCCATAAAAGAGCCAATCCACCACGATGATATAACATAACAGTCTTCAGTCTAGTATGAAAGTATTGAAATGCACCAACTGTTCGCCCTTCTTCTGGTATCTGTACCCTGATTTGTCTGTGCCTTTGTGCTGGGCCACTCAAGCCTGTGGAGATCAAGCAGAACCGATCCGTTGGAGTCAGGGGCGGAACGTGTCTACGTATGTGTGCACTGATATACTCCACAAACTGCTACTCTTGGCCAACACGGATAATGGTATAGGAAAAGGCCTTCCATGCTGCTAGAAGTAATCCCAGCACTAGGGGAACAGCTAACCTTCAACCTTGAAGATGCACGCCTCCCCTTGTTTGACAAGGACACTAGAAGAAAAAGCCTGTTTAAGAGCAGGCAGGCCTTGTAGAGTTTTAGAAAAAGGTCAACAAAATGGACAAGCTAGCTCTCCACGTTACTACCAAAATCCTTTCCCTTGCCAAACCTGGACTTTCAGTTAGGTGGGTCAATAAAGACCTCTTTTTGCACAAGACAGCTTAAGATGAATATCTTAAGTCTCTTGGGTTAGTAAAGTCTACAAGACTCACAGGGCAGTTGAGAAAGTATAAAAAAGGGCCAGGAGTCATTTCCACAGGCATTATATCTAGCGGAGGCTGACTGAGGAATCTTTGGTCTGCAGAATGCAAGATGAGCACAGTAATTAGTACAACCACCATCAGTCCATAGCCAGTAATTCTCCCTTGACACCCTCGCTCTTTGTGGGAGGGACACAAAGCAGTAATAGGACACTGTAGACCCAATACTTCAAAGTGAGAGGAACCAGACCCATCACTCCAGATTCATCCGCGGGGGGAACTGGCTCCTGACCCTGAGTTTTTAAGCCTTCGGAGGCTTTCTTCTTCCAGAATCAGCTTTAACTGAGTATGTATTATTATTCTAATCACTGTTTTCTTAAGTTCCTACTTACAGTCACATGTGGGCTGTTTCCCTTAGAGAAATGCAAGCTTTAAGAACTATGTACAGTATTACCCTTAAAATAGCTTTCCACATTACCAGATACAGAAATTAGCATGGGGTGGGGAGGGTGGAGAAGGGAAACGTGGCTTACCTGCCTGTAGAGAGACAATAAATACTACACGGAGAAGAGAGGTACAATGAGTAAGTGGAAAATATTTCCTACTGAGTCCATTAGTCTCTTAGAGTTAGAACCCAGGTCTCTAGATGGGCTCTGTGGACAAAGAAACCCCGCATCAAAAAGGGAGTGCATCAGCCGGGCGATGGTGGCACACGCCTTTAATCCCAGCACTCGGGAGGCAGAGCCAGGCGGATCTCTGTGAGTTCGAGGCCAGCCTGGGCTACCAAGTGAGTTCCAGGAAAG